CAGTTTGGTCACTTCATGAGCCTTACCAATCTAAATCTTCATACGCTGCAGTATGTCAGATGTAAATGTTGACTGCAATTTTTCTGACACAGACAGAATACAGCTTGAACTGAACAGATGATCCAGAAATCCAAACAATGAAACAGTGATCCTGTCCACATATTGGTGGTGCTGAAAAACTTCAGTGATGGTTTTACAAAGTTGTTTCAATGCCAGACTGTTACAATATTGAGTTGTCAAGTATGAGAATAGTGGTGAACTTGGGTGTTTTACCTGTGGACAAGCATTCAGCAAAAGTCAAAGAATCAGGTTTTACATTAAAAAGTTCAATGAAACAAAGCTCTTGTAATGCAAGTCATATGTATCATTGTGGTTTATGCTTCCAGGTATAGATTCTGACCAAAAGGCACGCTTTACTCATCACCTTAATACAGCTTACAGTAGAGATGAAACCAGTTTTTTATATACAGCAGATAATACAAAAATGAATAAGTCATATCACCAGATAATGGGCAAAAACTAAGAGTACAATTGGATTGTACCTCATCTACTTTGAAACATTTCTATAAGAAGAAAAGAGTTGTGTAACATTCTCACTTAATTTAGTACATACATGAAACTAGTTGGGCTAATGAAGATGGCTGTGTTCTGGATTGTAGATCTGTACAGTCTAGAAGAAATTTACCAACATTTCGGAGATCATGAGTCACTGTCCTGATGATGGAACAGCAGGGACCTCTGAATATTTGTTAAGCTTCTACCAGACTACATGGTGCTACAACCCAGAAGACAACCATCTTTGTACTCACTGTTATGAGACCCTCAAATCCTACCTAGGTGTACTAATTAAAATGTGTTTAAAAAACTTACAGTAAAGTCCATACAGATAAACATTTGTCTGTGTTTCCTATTCAGAGTGGTCTGAAAATATAAACCTTACTGCCATTGCAAAACTTTTCTTTATGCCAGAAGTAATGCCTCAGAAAATCAGGAGAAATTAAAACTGAATATCAACATCACTTTCTGATCCTTATTGGTGAGATTAATTTACTGTGTAGGAACAAAAAACCTGTCACTGTGGCATGGTGTCCTCAGGCTGCAGATGGAGGAACAGCCTCCAATTATGGAGGTTAACTGCGAATATATTGAATAAGCAGTCACCAGCAGCTGACAGCTTGGGGATTGAGTATGAGGGAAACAACGTTTCACTGTAAAAAAATTGTGGGAAATGGGAGTTGGAATCCATTGGATTTTGCTGGCCCAGCACAAATCTTCAGGTTCCCTAAGCCATCAGGTCGGTTGGTCGGTCAGTTGGCTGGGTGGATGGTTGGCTGGCTGGCTCGTTGGTTGGTCGGTCGGTCAGTTGGCTGGGTGGATGGTTGGCTGGCTTGTTGGTTGGTCGGTCAGTCAGTTGGTGGGTGGGTGGGTTGGTTGGTTAGTAGGAACAAAAATACCGTATGGAAAAACCCAGATTTCTACAAGAGAAGAGAAAATTTGTATGCATTCATGTTTTCTCAAAAGAATGCAAACAGACTCTTAATATAGGCAGACAATGCACACCATGAAATTTTATCATGGTTTAAATATTTTTGGACAGCATAAACAGATCAAAATTGGATTAAAAAAGTAATAGGAAATTAATTTTTGGGAGGCTTGCTATTGTAAGTTCAGACTCATTGACCATTTTGCAGCCATCTAAAACCCACAGATTGAAATGTTACTAGGACGCTATTATATGGGCTAGAAACTTGAGTCTTTTCACACACAAGACATGATATGACAAAAAAAGTTTGCTACCTTAATGTTGCATGTATATGTCAATTTCTGTAGCAACAAATATTTTAAATTATTTTATTTGTTCAGATTAATATTAATTTGCTACTTTAGATGTAGAATGAATTTTTAAGGTAGTGACTATTAATGAATATTTTACTTTAATCTTTCAGTTTGTTTACTGTTGTGTCATAGTTGGTGATAAGGTTTAAAATCAGGTTACTCCGAAACAAGGGTCAGGCATATTATTACTGTGTTAACCTCATCCTTAAATAGAACTCTGGCATAGTAGAGTACCAAACTATGAAGCACATTGTGTGTGAAAGGTCTGAATGCGAGAAACTTTATGGAAAGTTGAAATTTGTTAGATGCTAGGATCCAGTTTATCTTGTGCTCACATTATGCTGGTGGGAAGATTTTTACCAGCTCTACACGGTGTGGAATGTTTGAGATTGCAGGATCACTGGAATTGAACGACATGCACTTATCATGCTTGTTAGAACTCATACAAGCCAAGTTTCTCACTAGCTCTCTGGTCATCAAAACCAGAAGTTTAACACTACTAATACTAAAGTACAATCACGAATCACTCCCACCCATCTCCTTGCTCGAAGTATAGTTCCCTAAGATTTATCTGTCTTAATGCTATCTTCCTCTCTTCCTTCCCATCATTCAACTGACCATTTTCTACAAGGTTTCCTCACCAAAATTCTGTATGCATGTTCAGTCTTCCCTATCCTACTGAAATGACCTATTCATTGTAGCTGCCTAGACTTCAGTATCCTAACAATATCAGGTAACTTATATAATGTGTAAAGTTTATCATATGTAATATCCCGTCTTTGACTTATTTTTTCCTACCTTATGCTGCTGCACAATTGCTCCTTGCTGTGTAGTTTTTTCGGTTACCTTTTGCCGACATGACTCCTTTATATTTTTAATTTGCCTGTTATTATGTTAGGAAAATTGTCAAAAACCAATATAATATTATTTATATAGTATGAGAAATAAAACCGATGATATAAATACAATAAAGAGGAACACAGAAGTTTTACTAGAGGCTAGTAGACAGGTGTGCCGGCGCAGTGGCCACGCGGTCTGAGCCATGGTCCTCGTGTGCCTGGCTGCTGCGACCGTGGGTTCGAGTCCCACTCAAGGCTTGGATGTTTGTCCTCGTCCTTTCTCTCCCAGTCTGATGGATAAAGACTGGACACGGAAGCCAAGGCGAAACCACCGTGGTACTTTCGCAAGAAAACCCCAAAAGGGGTCACGACGTTGAAGCTGACCATAGACGATGATTGATTGATTGACTGACCGCTGCAACATCGATGAGACGGGACGATAATACATTACAGAAGAATTTGGAAGGGAGCAGCTGTTATTGTGAAGATACTATCCCAACATTCTGTTAGATAAAGATGGATAAATCAGGACGACCGTAAACTGGCCGAGTTTCGAAGCAGGTGTTACCCGTGCAAGTTAAATGTTAGAAACTGTCTTCGTAAGAAACCAACAATAATATTACTGCAAAGGCATGACATTGAATGTAATATTTACGAAGCCTTGACATTGAGTTAACTACACTGTAAGTCACGTATATTTGGCCTGCAGCGAATGCAGGTTTATCGTTTACCGATTGTACCAGTGTGCTAGTGACAACTGCGTCGCACTTCGAAGGTTCCAAATGTCGTCTCTTTTACCGGATATAAAGACTGGAAGGTTTTCGTGGGTTTCTAAGCGATATTAACTTAAAATGGGCCACGATCGCTTCTATTCACAACCTTCCAACTAGGAATTTATACTTTTCCTGCCATTTGACACAAAACAAAATTTGCTGCTGAAAATCATGCACTCACACAACAATACAATGTGACACAAAAAAACATCTTAAGAACAACAAAAACAATGAGACACAACAAAGCATTGAGGCACGACAAAACAACACATCACACTCAAAATAAAACATCTCATAATTTTAAAACTATATGAGCTAAAGTACATAATATAAAAATTAACACCAATTATACAAAAGACAAAAACAGTAATGAATTACATACGTCATGAACTGATGCACTCACACAACAATACAATGAGACACAAAAACAACAACAACAACATAAGACACAAAACAACAAAAAGACACGACAAAACAATGAGTCACTAGAAAAAACACACCACACTCAAAATAAAACATCTCATAAGTTTAAAAAAACACATAACCTAAAGTACTTATCTTGAAAATTAATACCAATTACACATAAGATTGTAACAGTAATAAATTGCATACGTCATGAACTGATGCAGTCACACAATACAATGAGTCACAAAAAACAACATAAGAACAAAAAACAATAAGACACGACAAAACAATGAGGCACGACAATACAACACATCACACTCAAAATGAAACATCTCATAAGATTACAAAACCATATGAACTAAAGTACATTACTTAAAAATTAATGCCAACTAGACATAAGACAGTAAGAGTAATGAATTACATACTTCATGAACTGATGCACTCACACAACAAAACAGTGAGACACAAAAACAACAACATAAGACACAAAAATACATAAAGACACGACAAAACAACAGATCACACACAAAATAAAACATCTCATAATATTAATAAAACATATAACCTAAAGTACATAACTTGAAAATTAATACCAACTAGACATAAGATAGTAACAGTAATGAATTTCATACGTCATGAACAGATGCACTCACACAATAATACAATGAGACACAAAATAACAACAACTTAAGAACAACAAAAATAATGATACACAACAGAACAATGAGGCACGACAAAACAACGCATCACACTCAAAATAAAACATCTCATAAGATTAATAAAACATAACCTAAAGTACATAACTTAAAAATTAATACCAACTAGACAAAAGACAATAAAAGTAATGAATTACATACGTCATGAACTGATGCAATCATACAAGAAAACAATGAGACACAAAAAACAACATAAGACACAACAAATACAATAAGACAACAAAACAATGAGGCACAACAAAACAATGAGACACAACAACAACAACAACAACATAAGACACAACAAAAGCAATAAGACACAACAAAACAATGAGGTACGACAAAACAACACATCACACTCAAAATGGAACATCTCATAAAATTACAAAACAATATAACCTAAAGTACATAACTTAAAAATTAATACCACCTAGACATAAGACATGAATTACATACGTCCTGAAGTGATGCACTCACATTTCATCAGGACCTTCTCTTGACTTCACTACACTTATGAAACCTTCTCATCCTCACCCCAATTAACCTCCCTTCATTGCACCTACGAATTAATTCCCTTCACTTCACCTCATTTATCACTTTTCTAACCTTCTTTCTAAAAGTAATTGGTTTAGAGGAGAGAGTCCTTAATAGATCCGCAGGTAGCTAGTTCCAGATTTGGATGGTCCTATTTACAAAGGAATATATTCCGATATCCTTTGCTTTCTGCTCCTAATTTTCCGAATATGATTGACCCTGCTCAGATAGTACGGCCTTTGCAATCTGTCACCTATAGCTTTCCACGCCCGTTCTACCGTGTACGCTTTGAAGAGAGCACATATACGCGCTAACTTTCTACGCTGTGCCAGGGTTTCCCAGTTCGAATCGATCCTATGATACGCAAATTTACATGCTTTCTTTTGCACACGTTCTAACTCATTTATCTGCCTCTCCCTGTAAGGAACCCAGCACGCCGCCCATATTCCAGAATCGAACTCACTAGGGATGTGTAGGCTAGACTTTTAGTGTTGTTACTATTACTATTGTTAATGTCACGAAAAAAGGAAACTAAAAACGTCACCAAAAACCTACATTCAGATTATGCAAAGATGAAACCTCTCAGTATAAATACAAGCACGTTTTACACAAATATCAATAAATTGAACATCATCTAGGTCCTCAAGTTGCTTACATAACAGCCTTAGTTTTAACCTGACAGAAGAATACTGGGATACTGGGAACGACAACTTATCGTTGGCTTCATTCACAGACATTCGGTACACCTTGGACGAGGGATCGGTCCGCCGCAAGGCCTCTACCTGTACAAAGGACTGCACAACACAGAAAGCCGCCGACAAACATGCATAGCTTGAACGGGATTCGAACCCACGGTCCCAGCGACTAAGCGACACTAGGCAAACGCCTCAGACCGCGCGGTCCCTGCGGACCAGACAAAAGAATAGAATGTAGACTCTGGGTGGAACTGTCGTTCTTCCCACCGTCCTCATAGGTGAATGCGAGTATTCAACTATAGTGTGTCGAAATGAGAGGAGAAATCAAACATCCTGCTTGTAATGATTGGGGCCCCACCCCGCCCCAATCTGTGGTTGCCAACCCAAATTTCTAATGCAACCTCCAATTAAGTCGATGGTTCATTACAAAACGGAATATTCATGAGAGCGTAAACAACTGACTTAGCCACTGGGCCAGTCCCATCGTAAGGACGGAATAAAATCTTAAGTAACTTATTTTGAAACAGCCATCCATCCTCATCCTTCCCGATTCATTATTCATATCACCCACTCATTCGACGATATATAGTCTGAGGTACCGAGAATGATAATATCTATCATCATCATCATCAGTCCGTCTTTCCATTTTGAAAGTTGGTGACCCATCATTAGACACGATCCAGAATCTGTGTTAACTGCGGGAAATCTTGAAGTAGTT